CGCGCGACGGTTAGAACGTTGAAAGGTTGGCGGTTGGAGCTGGAAGGCCAATGGCTGAGCTGATGATATTTTAGGGTTTCAAACCCTAGGCTCTACGCGATCTGGACCATTGAATGGTTCCAGATCCAACGGTCAGAAATGAGGCGGCTGGAGCAGAGTAGGAGAAACCCTAGAGTTAGGGTTTAGTTGGGCTTGGGTTGATGGACTTGTAATATGATATTAGGTTCCAAAAGGCCTGCAAAAAATGTAATTTATATATTAATAATAATAATAATAATAATAATAATTAAATAGAAAAGACTCGGACAAAAACGAGTGTCTACACATCTCACCATAAAGGATCCAGAACTATATGCAAGACTTTAATTGTACTTCTAGAACAGAAAATTTATAAGCCAGCTTGTCAAAATACACTCTGCAAGAAAGCCTCACCAGCAGTTATTGCCTCATCAAGCAAGTCCTTGAAACGGTGTGAATCAAGCTTAGGATCCGAACAAAGCATTGAACAGAAGAGCCTGTCAAAGCAGAAAAAAATATATATCAGAACTAATCTTGAAAGTCTTAAGGAAAGAAAAACAGTCTGCCTCTCTTACTTATTCATATTGCCCTAGAACTTCATATAAAGATCAAACAGATATTTCTTCTCTGAATCAGATCCCTTGTAATTTGCTTCAAACTCTTCAATATCAGCCTCAGTAACCTGAAATCGTTTCAACCCTTGTGAACAAAATCGAAATGGCAAGCCAAAGTTCAAATGACATAGAGAGGAGTCAAGAAATGCAAAACCTTTTCGTACATAGTCCTGAAGAAGTTTCGCAAATTCTCAACAACGTCCCCAGCAAGATACTTATCAATAAAATCAAGAGAAACATGTTAGAAGGCGATTCACTCATAAGGTAATAAATTTCACAAATGGACCAATTTCAATTGAATAGCTTGTATAACAAAAGGAATCCTAATAGATTCGTTTTTACATAAAAAAATGTGGGAAGAAACTGAATACTTCCATATTCTAATGGATTTGGATAGGCCTGAAATATGTTTACTCACAGTATCATCGATGCAACCAGTTTGGTCATAGATTGCCCGTTTCTAGTCGTCACCGAGAATTGATATAACCTTTTGCAATTGCTGGAATTTATCTTTGGCTTCCTGCATAAGTAATATGAAGTGTTACAAAATGGCAAAAAAAACAACTAAATTTTAGCTTCATATTCTTCCCACCAACAATCCCCCACGAAAACAGATATTCGAAGCCTAATTTCAACATCAAAAATGAAAATTGAGTTTATACCTCATCACCGGGATTTTTATCAGGATGGAGCTTCAGTGCCAATTTATGATATTCTTTCTTAATCTCTTGCTGAGATGCTTTCTTTTCGACACCGAGAATCTGCAAGCAATCAGTTGTTATTGTGCATCTGTTGCTCAAATTTCTAAAGGAAAATTCAATGGATAAAACAACACTTCCAATGAAACAATGAAAATTTTTGGAGAATTTGTCCCATTGAATTTGAACCTATGGAAAAAAATGAAGTCTATATGAATCCATTAAATATATATAACTATTTTATTTCAATTAATTTCATACACAAATTGTTTTCTAACTTCCAACCTAAACTCTAAACCCATCATTAATTAATAAATTGGTTTAAAGATTAAAAAAAAAACTATCTTCTTCACAATCAATGAATCACAGCTAGAAATTTCGAACTTAAAATTAAAAAAAGGGGGGGGGGGAGGACCTCATATAAGCTCCTTTCATTTGGCGATGAAGGGTTTCCATCTTCTTCTTGGACTACTTCTTCATCTTCATCGCGTGAAACCCAGGATTTCTTTCTCTTTCCCATTTTAGCCCACATTAACCAAAATAAAACAAAATGCTCTTTTTTTTAAAGAAATATATATCAGGAACTAAAGAGTGCAGGGTTTTTGGTTTGATCCCATTTAGGTTAGTCTTTAGTGTTGGTTTTGAGCTCTGATTCCTTCCCGCCATCTGAGCGCTTTAACATTTTTTTATGACCTAAAATATACAAAATTGAAAATAATAAAATTATAAATAAGCTTATATTCCTATACCCGATGTTAAGGGGAATGATCACGTGCAACAACCTTAATACATGATTAAAAAAAATGTTATCGATTTTGTTATTATTTAAATAATAAAACAGATACAAAAATTACTGGAATATTATTATTTCTACCGATTTTATTAATTTTTCTATTGATTTTATTATTGTTGGACACTTTACCGGAAATGTTAAAAAATATTGATGTTTTAAATAGAAATAAAAATGTATTTGATAATTTTTTACATATTTTATTATTTAAATAATAATAAAATCGATAACATCTTTTTTTAACTATATATTAAAGGTGTTACACTGTATAACTTCCCGATGTTTTGTTATAAGAGTGTTATAGATTACACATTTATTTCACTTTTATCAAAGCTTTTCGGTCTACATTAGTAAATTAAACCGTTACAAATTGAAGATATATATATATATATATAATTTAAAGACAAACAAAAAGTGAACCTTGCTTTTAATTTAAGGGTAAAATATAGTAATGGCCACTAAACTTTTCTAAAGCTTTCATTTAGGTCCCTAATTTTTAAAACTTACAATACAACCCTCCAACATTTAGTTTTTTTGTAATATGGTCCCCGACGTAACCAACCGTTTGACGCCGTTACACTGCCGTTAGTACGTTTGCAATATGGTCACTGAACTTTTCAGGCATTTGCATTTAGGCCCCCTAACTTTTAAAACTTGCAACACAATCCTCAATTTCATTATAAAACCCAAATTCCTTTTCGATCTCGAATTTCCTTTTTCGCTTCTCTCTTCTCATTTCCAGCATAACTTTTTCAGTCGGGGATGCATGGGAAATTCTAATCTAACTTTGAATTTTGTGGAGGTATTGACTTAAATAAGGGTCTATTGAGAGAAGACCCGACCAAGGGACTGTCGGGACCATTAACGATTCAAGGTGTAATGTTAGATACATGTCATCTCAGGTGAAGCATAGATGTTTAATGAAATGCTTGTGAGAAAAAAATGGGGTTAGAAATACAGAGTTGACAAATACTACTAAGATGAACTAAGTATCATTGTTGAAAGTCACCAATAAAAATGGAATTATTTTGTATAAATGACATATAATAATTTCTTTGTTTAATCATTGTGGTTAAATATTTTCCAACAGATGATCAAATATAATGAAATCCTAAACAACACATTCACCTCTCAGTCTCTTTCGCTCACATGCACTCTCGTTTGGTTTTCGTTCTTCAATTTTCCACCATGTAAAATTGTACATATTTGGGATTTCATTATATTTGATTATCTGTTGGAAAATATTTAACCACAAGGATTAAACGAAGAAATTATTATATGTCATTTATACAAAATAATTCCATCTTTGTTGGTGACTTTCAACAATGATACTTAGTTCATCTTAGTAGTATTTGTCAACTCTGCATTTCTAGCCCCATTTTTTTCTCACAAGCATTTCATCGAACATCTATGCTTCACCTGAGATGACTTGTATCTAACATTATACCTTGAATCGTTGATGATCCCGATAGTCCCTTGGTCGGGTCTTCTTTCAATGGACCCTTATTCAAGTCAACACCTCAACGTAATTCAAAGTTAGATTAGAATTTCCCATGCATCCCCGACTGAAAAGTTACGCTGGAAATGAGAAGAGAGAAGAGAGAAGCGAACAAGGAAATTCGAGATCGAAAAGGAATTTAGGGTTTAGAATGAAATTGAGGAACGTGTTGCAAGTTTTAAAAGTTGGGGACCTAAATGCAAGTGCCTAAAAAGTTCAGTGACCGTATTGCAAACGTACTAACGGCAGTGTAATGGCGTCAAACGATTGGTTACGTCGGGGACCATATTGCAAACGAACTAAATGTTGGAGGACTGTATTACAAGTTTTAAAATTTGGGGACCTAAATGAAAGCTTTAGAAAAGTTCATTGATCATTAATATACTTTACCCTTAATTTAAATAGAACAAACTCATAACTGTTTATAATATGATTTCTTTCTTGAGATAAAATTAAAGGTACCTAAAGCTTTTGTGGCGAAAAAACATTAAAAGTTGAGATGGCCGAGTTGTTCTAAGGCGCCATATTAATGTTCTGATCCGAAAGGGCGTGGGTTCAAACCCCACTCTCAACAAAAGCAAGTTTTATAATTTACCCCTTTACTGAAAATTTTGTTCAAAACAGTCTGCGTCCCTAACAGCTTTTGTGTTTGCATTTTAGTTCAATACGATGATGCATGCTCAGCGCCTCCTACTACAACTTGTAGGGAATACAACACATGAGTGCGAGGTTTAGAGGTTCATTTGGGGTGTGCGTGTATATTCAAATACAATGTTATGAGGCTCATTCATTCTTGAACAATGAAATTCGATGTCTCGGAGTTTGTTTAGGGTGAAAAATAAACAAAATCAATTGCGTAACTAGCTTGATGTTTTGATTGCTAGTTATCTTTTCAGACCCCGAAGCATGATAGCAGACAACTAACGATAGAAATTGTTATTGTCATGTAACAGGGACAATGATGGATGCTGTTGGAAATGGCATACCAATAGGGGACCAACTTGTATCGAGGGGCTTGCTATTTCATGGTTTCCATGGGTTAATTCCGATTACTTGTCCGATTGTATGTATGTATCATCCTTTGAAAAGTAACTTTCCGATTGTAACAAATCAACTTTATCAATCCCTGCTATTCTCTGTCCTGGCTCTAGGGTTTTTGTCCGATACTGTAGAATTCTTAACTAGTAATAATTTTCTTTCATGCCTGCAGCTTGGAGCTGCTATGGAGATCTTACTACACGAATTTAACAGAACATTGTCTTTTTACTGTTGCATATGCTTCAGAATACGTGAATTGAAATTGATTTCGTTCATGATTTCCGTGTTTGATCTGCCGTTAACATTTTCACTGATAATTTACAATGAAGCTGCTATGTATTTACAATGTTAGTTGCTCCTTGGAGTGCTTGAGAGGGAGCTGGATTCCATTTGTTTACGGACGTAAATATGGAAAAGAAAAAGGCGCTCTATACCGAGAGAGGCTGGACAAGACGCTGTTGTCTGCTTAACTGACTGATCCGGAGACACTTAAAACCCTCGTCAAGAATCAGATTTTACGATATGCACATGATGAGAAAGAAGGTTAAGAGTATTTCTTCAGTTCATAGGTTCCGTGATATTCACACATCCCTCTATGCATATTTTCTTCTAAACTTTTTTCGGTCTACAGATTTTAGTGAAGATTTGCTGGAAAAGAGGGCTCGAGAAGTATCGAATTTTCTTAACATGTTAAGGAGTACTTCAATGGATGATTATCTGGTGCCTAAATCCAGTGAGACATCACACGGTGAATGGAAAGTATGCTATAGTACTCTTATATAAATGGCTTTATTAAACATGTACGAGTGAAGTGAACTTTACAAGTTATACATTATGATTGGTTTCTTCGAAAATGCACGGCCAACTTCGTTCGACAGTTGCAGCACGACAACGAAGAGTCCCGTGTTATGTACCGTGAAGGACCTCATGGCACTCTGTTCCACACGTTACTAGTTGAAGGCTATGTAAATGGACCTTTGGATGTTTGTGAGTTCAGCTCATACTTCAATTACTTTATGAACAGTTGAACAATCGGGTAAAAAAACGAAAAGAACATAATAATTTTAACGAGGTTCAGCAATGTGCTTACGTCCTTGTTGCTAGAATTTTTATTCAATTAAATGTCTCATAGGTTTAGGTTACATCTTATTTTATAATAAATAAACCCTGTTACATATTTACAAAAATAACCCTGTATCGTACAGCGGAGCTGCGCCCCTGCACCCCCAACCCACATAATTGTAACCCCCACTACGAGACTTTCTTTGTAAGGACAAATGATGTTCAATTCGCTCACTCCGCTCCATCCTCTGTCATCTTTACCGGTATATTTATAAGAAATACCTTACAAATCTTCACCTTGGAGAATATACTGCCCCTTAGGAAACATTCAATGTGGGTTGGGTTACCTTACTTCTTTACCAAATCGAAACATTCAACAAGTCCAAGTAATGCATGAACTTGTCTGTTGTAACTGGCTTGGTGAACATATCAGCGGTATTCTCATCAGTATGTACTTTATGAAACAAAATCTCTCCAGATACAACCAACTCTCTGATCTAGTGAAACCTTACATCAATATGCTTAGTTCTAGCACGATATACCTGATTCTTAGCCAAGTGAATAGTACTTTGATTGTCACAAAGCAACTGAACTCCACCTTGCTGAACACCCAACTCCTTCACTAAACCAGTAAGCCATAAAGCTTCTTTTGCAGCTTCAGCCGCTGCCATGTATTCAGCTTCAGTTGTAGATAATGCCACAACAGATTGAACAGTAGACTTCCAACAAATAGGCCCTCCACCAAGAGTAAAGACATACCCTGTCGTAGATCTTCTATTATCCAAGTCACCCGCATAGTCTGAATCCACATATCCTACAACCAAAGGATTATCCCGCTGACTACAAAAAATAATTCCATGTCCCACAGTACCCTTTAAGTACCTAAAGATCCACTTGACTGCTTTCCAATGCTGCTTACCAGGTTTAGACATGTACTTACAAACTTGACTAACATCATGAGCTAAATCAAAATGAGTGCATACCATTGCATACATCAAGCAACCAACATCATTAGAATACGAAACCTTTGCCATATCTTCAGCTTCTTTATCTGTCTTAGGGCATTGTTATGATGAGAGCTTAAAGTGATTCACCAATGGAGTGCTCACTGGTTTTGCGCTGCTCATCGTAAACCTTTCTAGCATTTTCTCAACATAACCCCTTTTAGATAGTCAAAGTTTCCTTGAGTCTATGTCCCTGCAAATTTCCATTCCAAGAATTTTCTTTGCAGCACATAAATCTTTCATATCAAATTCCTGGCTCAATAAAGTTTTCAAATCGATAACATCATACATGTTCTTCGCAGCAATTAACATATCATCAACATACAATAACAGAAAAATAAAAGAACCATCATCAAGGCTCTTAACATAGACACAATAATCATACTCACATCGCTTGTAGCCAATCTTGATCATATAGGAGTCAAACCGTTTGTACCATTGTCTCGGAGACTGTTTCAACCCGTACAAAGATTTCTTCAATCTGCAAACTAAATGCTCGTTTCCAGGTTGAGTGAAACTTTCAGGCTGCTGCATGTAGATATGTTACTCTAAATCACCATGAAAAAAGCAGTTTTAACATCCATCTGCTCTAAATGCAAATCCCAACTAGCCACCAATGCAAGTACTGCTCGGATTGAAGTGTGTTTGACCACAGGAGAAAAAATTTCATCGTAATCAACTTCTTTCTGCTGTGAATAACCCTTTGCTACTAAACGAGCCTTGAACTTCTCCCATTCTTTTTCTGTTACTGCTGGTTTCTTCTTATACACTCATTTGCAACCAATCGGCTTCTTACCCTCAGGAAGGCGAACTAACTCCCAAGTACGATTGTGATTCAAAGACTCCATCTCCTCAACCATGGAAGCCATCCACTTGTCGTTTTCCTGACTAGTAACAGCATCATGAAAAGTAACTGGATCATCACTACTAACAGTAAGTGCAAAAGAGGCCAAGTCTTCAAAACCCAATATGTTAAGAGGATTTATATTCGTCCGTCTCACCCTGTCTCTGGCGAGACTATAATCTTGCAAATCATCCGTAGCGGAACCACCAGAAGTCGTTTGAGAATTTTCTATTTTCTCAACTAGAAACTGCTCGAAATCCACCACTGTCGTGTCTTTCTTCTGCTGCAACATGGGCTGTTCATCAAAAACAACATCTTTACTGGTCACAATTTTTTTCGCAATTGGATTCCAGAACTTGAATCCTTTGACACCTTTCTTGTAACCCAGAAAAATACACTCCTTCGATTTTGCATCAAGTTTGGATCTCTCATCAGCACGTGCACGTACATAAGCAGAACAATCAAAAATCCGTAAGTGATTAAAAGTAACATCATGACCAGTCCATAACTTTTCTGCAACTTTCCCAGCCAAGGATGCCCTTGACGATCTATTGATAAGATAACATGCCATGTTAACAGCCTCAGTCCAGAAGTGTTTGGGAAGCCCCACATTCAACCGTAAACATCTGGCTCTTTCATTCAATGATCTGTTCATCCATTCCGTAACACCATTTTGTTGTGGTGTCTTGCGCACTGTAAAGTATCTCTTAATCCCATGCTCCTTACAGAAGTTTAGAAACTATGAACCTGTGTACTCCGTACCATTGTCAGACCGCAAACACTTGATTTTTCATCCTGTTTGGTTTTCTATCTTAACTTTCCACAGCTTAAATTTCTCAAAAACGTCAGACTTTTGTTTCAAAAAATACACCCAAACTTTCCGTGAAAAAACGTAAATAAAAGTAACATAATAACTAGATCCACCCAAAGACGATGTCGTGGAAGACCCCCATACGTCAGAATGCACATAATCAAGAATTCCTTCAGTTGTGTACTTCACAGACTTGAAATGAACTTTAGTCTGTTTACCAAGAACACTATACTTGCAAAAATCGAGCTAACAACTTTTAACACCATGGAACAAATTTCTTTTATGTAATTTAACCATACCACGTTCACTAAGATGAGCAAGACGCATATGCCACAGTTTGGTAGTATCATCACAGGACTCAACAGAATGAACTCCACCTACAACGGTACTCCCTCACAATTTGTAAATATTCCATGCAATCATCTTTCCTTACATCACAGTCAAAGCTCCTTTAACAATCCGAATGGTTTTCCTATCCTCATCAGCTTTAGGGATAAAATCATTCTTGTGCAAAGTGCCCAAAGAAATCAAATTCTTCTTCAAATCTAGGATATACCGAACACCACACAACGTCTGAACAGAACCATCATACATCTGAACTCTGACATCACCAATACCAACAATATTGTAACATCGATCGTCACCCAAATAAACAGAACCATAATTAACTGACCTGTATTCGAAAACCATTTCCTATTTGGTGTGATGTGATAAGAACATCCAGAATCAATAATTCAAGCATCTGTCAATTGAGTCGTTGAAATAGAGAGCATATCACCCTAACTGCAATTAGAATTGTCATCCTCGACCACATTCACAGACTTGGATGAGTCATCACGCTTCTTATCAGTCTACTTTTTCAACTTCAGACAGTCTCGCTTCATATGTCCCGCCTATTTGCACTTGTAACAGTGAACTGTCTTCTTATACCTAGATTTGGATCTGAAATTCTGCTTCCCATACCCTGCCTCCTCTGACTTCCGTCCATGGTCTTGATTACCCTTGACATATAAGCTATCAACTTGAGAGCTTTCCTCTGCATTCTGCTTCCGCTGGTTGTGAGCCAACAAGGCTACAGTAATCTCCTTAACTTTGATAGTCTCTTTCCCATATGTAAGAGTAGTTACCATGTGTTCGTAAGAGGGAGGCAATAAACACAACAGAATCATCGCTTTGTCTTCATCCTCAATTTTCACATCAAGCCGAGCCAAATCAGAAACAATTTGATTGAAGACATTCACGTGTTGCGCCAAATCATGATCATCCTGCATCTTTAGCCCATAAAGTCGCTGCTTTAGATACATTTTAGTCGTTAAGGATTTGGACATAAACTAATTTTCCAACTTCTTCCAAATTTTATCTGGAGACGACATATGCATGACGTGATACATGACCTCGTCCGCCAAACATAATCGTATGGTTCCTGTCGCTCGTTGCTGAAATTCTTCCCAATCTTCCTCCTCCATCAACTCCGGCTTTGTAGGTCGCAAAGCCTTCAGGATCCCTTGATGCACCAACAGATCATTCACCCTTGTTTGCCATAATCCGAAGTTACCCTGACCATCGAATTTCACAACTTCGAATTTGGCTCCTGACATCTTATACCAATTATTGAACAATCGGGTAAAGAAAACGGAAAGAACACAAGAATTTTAATGGGGTTCAGCAATGTGTTTACGTCCTCGGTGTCCTAGGCGGCGCTAGAATTTGTATTCAATTCAATGTCCATAGGTTTATGTTACATCTTATTTTATAATAAATAAACTCTGATACATATTTACAAAAATAACCCTGTACCGTATCGCACCCCTGCACCCCCAACCCACATAATCATAACTTCTACTACGAGACTTTCTTTGTAAGGACAGATGATGTTCGCTTCGCTCACTCCGCTCCATCCTCTGTTCTCTTTACCAGTATATTTATGAGTCATACCTAACATAAACTAACCCGAAATCGAATAAAAAACTTCTAAACTAGCTGTACACTTCATTGCAGGTTTATGTATCTCTTGGGAGTCAGCTCTCTATAAGAAATGGTGAGAATTGTTTCCATTGTTTTCTTAACATCCTCTGTTGAAGTAATATTGTGTCGTGTTGCTGAAAATCTATATACGCTTTTATGGTTTTTATTTTGGATCTGATCCCTAACCACGTGCACAAGCAAACATCTTCTTTTACATTTTTCCAGGTGGCCTCAGTCCAGTTTTCCATCGTTCAAAGTAAATAGTTCCATCTGTTTACGAAAGGTCCGAATTGTCGAACATATATCTTTAGTGAGGTTCGTTTAGCCTGAAATGACGACATCATATTTAAATTCGTTTCCCTTTCTTTAAACACCATGTTGAAGTCTGATGCTTACTCGTTTTCATATTTAGGGAGAAGAATGAAGGTTGCGTGGCCAATGTCAGATAGGGAGGCTCTAGTTCACTATTTCTTTTTCGAGTACTTTCAAGATGATCTGATTATCGTTCTCGTGAACACGGTAGAGACTTCGAATACTTGAACATGGTCTCATAGACTTTGCATTTGGCTTTCTTCCCACATATATCACTACAACAAATTTGTCAATTTATGACGAAATTTCTATATGACATTACGTATAACGTCACAAAACATACTATAATGTGACGTTTTTTTTCTTTTCGTTATATTTATTGATTAATGGTATATTTTTAGTGAGGTTCGTTTAGCCTGAAATGACGACATCGTATTTAAATTCGTTTCCCATTCTTAAACACCATGTTGAAGTCTGATGCTTACTCGTTTCATATTTAGGGAGAAGAATGAAGGTTGCGTGGCCAATGTCAGCTAGGGAGGCTCTAGTTCATTATTTCTTTTTCGAGTACTTTCAAGATGATCTGATTATCGTTCTCGTGAACATGGTAGAGACTTCGAATACTTGAACATGGTCTCATAGACTTTTCATTTGGCTTTCTTCCCACGTATATATTGGAAAATATATATAGGTACACACTTCTGCCTTTAGATCTCGGATGTCAGCAGCATTGATAAAGCAATACATGGATTTTCTAACGACGGAATTCCCGAAGCAAAGGATGTTGTAAGGATTGATTTGGTTGGAGATTTCGCTTTGCAGAAGTTGAACAATGAAGAAGCTACTTTAGGTCAGTTGTAATACTTTCAAGTTTTCATATCAATATATGAAAGTAGATGGTTTATGTATGCTCTTCAAGAAAGGGTCAATGGGTTTAGGTCCTCAGTACAAGCTCCAATGGAGTTGCCTGCAAGTGCTTGAGGAGTTTATTTTTCGAACATCCCAAAACATGAGTGGCAGGAATGATCGGATTTGTCCGGTTCAGTGTTTATGTGGCTCGAAGCTTCCGATCATGAGGATTTGTGGGTTTATATTCCTGTCATATTCTTCGTGTTTCTTCTCGAAATATTTAAGCTTATTAATTTTGTAGGACAATAGCAAACATGGATATGAAGCTGGATTTTGTCCCTCCATCTCTTATAAACTTCAAAAGGTCACACTTCACACATAAGCTATGTTACTCGGACTCGGTAGTGCTCGACGAATACAATACGTTTTTTCTTTCTCAAAATTTTCATATATTCAGAGAATCATATCCCCATACTCATGTTCGGGTACATGTTTGGTATGACTGTTGGTATTGCTGGTGGCTTTTGGATTTGCAATTTCATTTTTCATGGTCCAGATTATTATGATGAACTGGTTAATTTCAGATTTTCGGGTTTACAATGCTTGCAGACTGTGGCTTCTGTGACGAAATGCTATGAAGATTACAGCAAGGCCTTGGGAGATCCTTCGTTTTCTCTAATACGCGAAGCATTTTACACCAGTGACAAATCGGGTGACGTTCTTGAAGTACATGAGCTTGAAAGTGAAGCCGATATTTTGCGGAAGGAGAATTTAATCGGAGGCACACATTATGACACGCATGATATTGGACTGAAGGTTCATCATGCTAATGACCAATCTGCCGAAACTCCACTGCAGAAAGAACACGACACGAAGAGAAAAGCTTTCAGTGAAATCAAAGAAGAAAGTGAAAGGATTACATACTCAGAGGAGGGTGTTAAGGCTGCAAATAAATGTTCAACCGATGAGTTTAGTGATGCAAATGGCGTAAATGCTGAAAGAACGATCCCTATTCGTCCCGAGGTGGAAGATGCTCTAAGAACACTGGAGAAGGTCATTTCAGTTGCACGGCAACATGGATTTAATCTCCGAAGCAGTTCTTCTATTTTCTGTGACGAAGAAATGGTAAATTCCGAAGGTGTTGCGAAAAAAGTCAATATATGCTGCAGATGAAGATGTTAATTTAAAAGCCGAGGATGAAGATGTTAATTTGAAAGCTGTGGTTGACGTCAAAGCCCACTCCAAAGAGTTTGTGTTGAATCTGGAGATGACTTCGGAGAAGTCTTGGAATAGCGGCGAGACAAACGGCACGAGGTAACCATGTAAAGATACTCTCACATATTTTCAAATCCTTATATTTGATTTTACCGGTTTTGATCTGTGAATGTTCTGCAGGCACTTAGATTCGAGTTCCCTTGCAAAGGAAGTTAACCATAACAAAGTTGTACTGGGTTCACCTTGGCCAAATGTATCGAAACCCATGGAGTCTAATCGGGTTGCCTTGAGTTCCTATGGAAATGGAACCATCAAGGCAAATGGGTTCTATGAAAATGAAGTTAGAAAGTCGAGTTTAGGCTGTTTCAGCTTGAGTTTCGGGTGACCCGGGAAGAAGGCCTAGATGGCCTAATACTAGTTGACTTCATTCGCAAGGCACTTGAAGACTTGGGAATGGATTTTCTGATATTTTATACAAAAAACATCCCTAAAAAATACTGTAATCTAATATACCATATTTCATTCCTCATCTAATCAACAATGTTATACAATGTATAATAAGTGCTTAACACATGGCCAATTATTGGTTATAGTTGAAATTTGTGATATGATCAGCAAATTACTACTTTTTCACTAATAAAAAAGTCTTTGTCGGTTCGGTTCGAATTATTATTTATATACTAATAAAATTGTTTTTGTTTAAAATTAATCATAAAATTACTATTATATTTGAGTTGAGCATAGTAGAGGGACCAAAACCATAATTTAACCTAAATATTTCAACTCAAAAGCTTTACTATCATATTAATATCAGCCATGAATCAACAATCATGTTCTGATAACCACTGAAATTGCTGGTGGTAACCTACACCTTATCAGAACCCATTTAAACCTGTAATTCTAACAGAAGAAACTGCCTTTTTTTCCCTTATATTTTTTCCCTCATTTTCTTTCTCTTTTGAATGGAGAAAGAAAAAAACGCAGAAAAATCAACACTTAATTTTTCTTTGATTATAAAAATTAATAAAGAAGAACATTATTTCCCCATTGTTTGTGATTTCAAATTATTGTTTTGACGTTGAATTCGTCGATTCTGATTGTTTATTTACATTGGGTTATTGGAAATTTTCTTCCTTTTGTTAATGATCATTGATTATTCTAGGAAAATTTAGTGTTTGTAATGATCATTGAGGGGAAAATTTTAGAATAACTGAAAGCCCTCAAAGGATCCCATTTTTCTATGGAATTGCTTTAGATTAGAGGGATAATTCTTCTAATTGATTCATTACATTCACAATTGGTGTTTGTTGAATTGTTTCTGTGGGGTGATTAGATTGGCTAAAGCTCCAATTTTTTTATTTTACTTTTTAGAAAAAGAACCCTTTTAGGGAGATAAGAAATGGGATTATTGTTCATGGGTGAATTCAGATATTGTTGGGTGGAAAGAAGAAAAAGTGTGAGAATTTAAGTGTTCAAATGGGAAATGCCTGTGCCAAATCAGAGGAAACCGAGGAAGCCAAAAATGATGAAACAAAACAAGATGGCGATGGCAACGAGGGTGAAACTAAAGATCGGGGTCACGGTGAAAGTAACGAACCGCAAGAATCGGTTCAAAAAGAACCGCCGGAAGAAATGAAGATTGTCAGGGAAGAAACAGGGAAGGAACAACAATCAAAGTCCACTGAAACAACCCATAGGCAACAATCAAAAGCCAATGAAACAACACAAAGACAACAGTCGAAATCGCACCCTCAAAGACTTAACTCCAAGCCATCTCAACTTTCGGCATTTAACGAGGGTAAAACCGAGACTGGAAAACAGAAAAAGGCTCATATGTGAAGAGGCAATCATGTGCAGGGTTGAAGGTTGATTCAGTGTTGCAAACCAAAACAGGTCATTTGAAGGAATACTATAACTTGGGGAGGAAGTTAGGTCAAGGACAGTTCGGAACGACTTTCCTTTGCATCGAGAAAGGTACCGAAAAAGAGTTTGCGTGTAAATCGATCGCGGAAAGGAAGCTTATGACTATTGATGATGTCGATGATGTGAAGAGAGAGATTCAGATAATGCATCACATGTCAGGGAACCCTAACGTTATATCCATCAAAGGGTCATATGAGGATTCAATGGCGGTTCATGTTGTGATGGAGTTGTGTGCAGGGGGTGAACTTTTCGATAGGATTGTAAAGAGAGGGTATTATAGTGAAAGGAAGGCAGCTGAGATAGCAAGGACTGTTGTTTCTGTCGTTGAAGCATGCAATGCAACGGGAGTAATGCATAGGGATCTCAAGCCTGAAAATTTCCTTTTTGTGAATCAAGAGGAGGATTCACCTCTTAAAGCCATTGATTTCGGATTATCAATATTCTTCAAACCCGGTATTTTCGAAATGGTTCTCTTTTATCACTTCCCATTTATAGTAAAGCCATTGGATTTCGGATTATCAATATTCTTTAGCTGTTCCGCCATTGGATTTTGAGGAATTAGTTTAATTTGATCTTTGGTAACTTGCAGGCCACCCTTGGGTTCAAGTTGATGGGGTGGCACCGGTCAAGCCACTTGATTCTGTCGTCTTAAGCCGCATGAAACAATTTTCTGCAATGGATAAGCTCAAGAAAATGGCCTTAAGAGTAAGTTTCTGCCATTTACAATGGCCAGTAAAGCTTCAGAATATACACATTGAAATCAAAACTCATTTTCAATGTGGAAATCCCACATTTAAATGATACTTATTTGGTTAAAATCTCAACTATTTCATTGTGTTTTTAAGGTCATTGCCCAAAGACTTTCCGAAGAAGAAATAGCTGGGTTGAAAGAAATGTTCAAGATGATAGACACAGATGGTAGTGGTCAAATCACCTATGATGAACTCAAAGAGGGACTGAAAAAATTTGGTGCTAATCTTGCTGAATCCGAATTTCATGCTCTAATGCAGGCCGTACGTTGCTTCG